CACGGCAGTGCGGGCAGCGCAGCAGGTGCTCCTTGCTGCGCGCCCCAGTGCCACGGCAGGCGCGGCATATCTTCGTCTTGGCGAGCTTCACCGTGTGGGCGGCGCCGCCGTACACGTCCTCGAGCGACACAACCAGCAGCAGCTCCTCGTCCTTGCCGCGATCCGCACCAGCGCCCCCGCCGCCGCCGCCGCCACCGAAGAAGGAAAAGAACGGGTGCATGTGCTGCTGCTGCTGCTGGCCCTGAGGCTGCTCGAACTTCTTGACGCCATCGAGCCCAAGGATGTCGTACACCTTCCGCTTCCTGCGGTCGCCGAGCACCTCGTAGGCGCGCTGAATGCGCTGGTACACCTCTCGTTGTGCCTCCCCCGCGAGGTCGGGGTGGTGCTTCTTCGACAGCTTGCGCCACGCCGACTTGATGTCGCGCTCAGTCGCGTCATCGCGCTCCTTGTCGAGGCCGAGAACCTTGTAGTAGTCCTCCTCATCCGTGCCCTCTGCTGCAGCAAAAGCGCCCTGCAGCCGGGACGGCGCCAGGACGCCCAGCAGAAGGAGGGCAACGAACAGCGTGTTGGGGCACGTGCGCTGCATCATACACGCGGGTCAGCCACTAGCACGTCGTATTAGAGCAATAGTAATTCCCTACACCTACACACGGTCAAGTTAGCGGTAGGAGTAGTAGTTGTGGTGGTGGTGGTGGTGGTGGTGGTGTGTTGACAAACTGCAGCAGCGACGCTGTTGGTGGCGCTCTTCCCACGCACGCCTTGTAGCCTTTAATATGGTTTTTTTTTCTGTTTTTTTTTGTTTTTGTTTTTGTTACCTTTTCTCTTTGCGCCTTGCAACGATAGCAGCCTCCTTCCACGGAAGCCTGGTTTTTTTTTTGTTTTTCGTTTCGTTATTATCGCGGTGCGCGAGTATTCCAATGGAGAAGAGCATAGAGGAAGAGGGAAGAAGAAATGAAGGGGAGCGTGGCACGACAGAGTGCACGTTGGTCTCCGTGCGCCTTTCCTACGTTTGGAGCAGCCCCAGAGCACTCTCCAAGGCAGCCAGCCACACACACACACACACAGAGACACTCCGTAACCAACTCGCCAAGACGATCTATTCACAACGGTCACGGAGACGGCACGAGAAGAAACGAAAAGCCCAAGGGCCCAGCCAAGCACCACATAAAATTTACCCACACCTCGGTCAGTACATTTGGCTTCCTTCACGATCGCTCGTATTTCACCGGCCCCTCTCCTCCAACGAGATGCACACAGTCCCTAGCGACGGCGTGTTGAGGGCGGCGGAAAGTACACATCTCATCGCACCCTCAGCCGCCGCGCAGGAGATCGCCGCTCCAGCTCCTTCTCCTGCTGCTGTTGTTGTCGCGTCTATTGAGGGCTGCTCTTTCCTGACTGTATCTTCTCGCTGCAGCTG